AGGTAACCTAGATGGCAAAGGCATTAAATAACAATTAAAGGATACCGGAATAACCCACTTCTGAATTTGTTTCTGAGTTTGGGTCATTTTCCCCAAGTCTTGAAAGAATGAGATATCAGAGATGAGATATCGTGGGTAGTGTGCAGAGCCACCCAGATGGGACAGCATCTTGAACACTGGCATTCGCTGAATGCTCGTGCAGGATCCAGAAATATCTCATGGTCAAGATGAAAGGTCTAAATTTAATACCAAAAACAGAAAATTGGCTTGGCTTCCCTGTACTCTGCACAGGAAAGTTCTTGTTTGGAAGTTCTGAAAGGAGAAGGGACTGGACACATGAAGTTCATGGCATCCTCAGATTACCATGGGAAGCAGGGGGCGGGGCGGATCTACTGTTGCACCAAGACCTCATCTGGCCCACAATGAAGGCTTGATGGAAGACAGAGAATTCACTGGAAGGAAATCAAAAAGGAAGGAGGTTCTCATTAATACAGATATGCCCACAATCAGAGCACATTTGTATCATTTAACTTTAAATGATACATTTCTTCTTCTTCTGAATTTTCTTATTCAGCTTTTAAGATACAACAGCCTACCCTGGCCACCTGGATGGGACACCTCATGATTTTGTTTGAACAGCATCCCTACCTCTGGTAACAAATCTGGGCCTTCCTTTGGAGGAGTCACCCTCACCCAGTCTATTATCCTGGCCATCAGAATTATAGCAATTGATTCAAAAGTGGTTTGACATAACTCTCACTGGCCCTGGGAATTTGCTGGAATTATGGGACAAAAGATTTTACTTTTACAGTGATTGCTAGGCTGACAGAAAGTAGAACTGTTGTTCCTAGCAACCTATACAGAGGAAAGTAGAGATGAGAGGCAGAGAGAGGGAGAAAGAATATAAAGATGATATCACTGAACTTCTAGATCAAGCCAAACCTGAAGGAAGTAATAACACCAGATTTCATAGTTACAGAAAAATTCTACCCCTTATCTGATTTTTTTCTTATATCAGACTAAGTCTTGAAAAGCACTGTGACCAGGAGTGATTTTGCACCCTCTAAATAACCAGAGCAGAGGTTCACAATTTTGGATAATCCTTGCAGTATCTACAGTTAAATAAAGAGGTTAGAGGGGTAGCTTCTAGCCTCTCCAAACTTTTCCACATTCTCTTCACCCTTTCTGCTACTAAAAGATGGTCAATGTTTTAAGTCCATTCCGCACAAGCAGCATCGTCTTATCCGAGAGCTTCTGTTGAAAAATGGAATTAGAATTATAGTGTTTCAATAGCAAGGGAAGAGCAGGTTTCAAGCAGGTCTGTTATTACAACCAAAAACTGCTGAAGAATCCACATCTTGGTCTGGGGCTATAGCTCAGTTGATAGAGTGCTAGCCTTGCATGCACAAGGGTGTTCAATCCCCAGCACCACCACCAAAAAAAGGAAAAAAATCCATGTCTTGGGCGTTTCCCACAACGTTTCCTATTTCTAGTTCTTGCAGTATCTACATAGTTAAGGAGATTGAAAGAGGAAGTCCGTCTGACTTAGCCAATAGAATCCTTATCCATAAGAAGGTGAAGGTATATACGGGTATCAATCAACAGATATGTGGATAAACAAATGTAGTTTATCCATATAGTGGAACATTATTTTGTCATAAAAAGTAATGAAGTGCTATGCATCCTACACTATGGAGGGGCCTTAAAAACATTATACTTAGTGAAAGAAGCCAGACACAAAAGGCCACATGTTTTATGATTGCATTTATATGAAATGTCCAGAAGAGGCAAATCTGTAGAGGCAGAAAATAAATTAGTAGTTGCTGGGGGCTGGAGAGGGGGAGTTTTTCCATTGCACACTGCGGGGTGATGGTGGGAGGGTACAGAGTTTCTGTCTAGAGTAATAAACATCTTCTGGGATTGGACAGGGGCAACATTTGCACACCTTTGTGCACACGCTTCAAGAAACCACTGAATTTATATTCTGGGCAAATTGTGTATCTCAATAAAACTGGTTAAAAGAAGAGAGTGAGTGGAGTGGAAAGGGAAGCTTTCAGAACAGCTGTCACTTGTCTAGAATTTCCCTGCATCTATTTAAAAATGTCAGATACAGTTCAGCCAAAAGGCATCACTGGGGGCTTACACAGATGACAACGTAGCACTTAAAGGAAGAATCTTCACTTGGGTGGCTGAACTTGAGATGCAGTCAGCAATGTCCCCTTTTCATGGAATTGTAGCTGAGTAGACTCCCCCTACCCAGTGAATTCACTCAAGGTTTCATCTTAAATGAATCACAGGTGGTAGTAAATCTTTCTTTGACTTATATCTGGTCCCTATAGATAGGCAGGGACCCAGTGTGTACAGGTCTCTTTCTCTTTTTTGCTTCAAATTGGAATAAAAATTTTTCAACATAGGACCCCAGGAAGCATGCTGAACACCCTCACATTCTTCCCTGTGTCCCAGAGAAACCGTATTGAGCAGATAATCCATTCAAGTTTGAGTGCAAAGAGTGGATTCCATTGCTTACTAAAAATTTACATAGGATTGTAGACAAGTGGAGGATGACTAAAAACTGCTGGATAAGCCATTTTTTCTATAGCCTATATCTTGTAGACCTTATAGAAGGAGCGAATCTAACCATTTCATTTTTTAAAAAAGAAAAGCAAAAAATTCAAAAATGGCTTCAGTGTTTACCTGTATCAACTCAGTCTTGACATCGCCCCTATTGAGGAAAGCATTATTTTAGTCACATTTTACAGATGGGAAAACTCAAGAGTGGTTAGGAAATTTCCCAAGGCCAACACAATGGCAGACCCAGGATTCAAACCCAGGAAGCCAGGAGTGTCTCCTAACATACTCAACATCATCAGTTAATTAGTAATCCCTTGTACAAATTTGGTATTCTTTCTCCCAGGATTATTTCGATTAAATTTTCAAGGATTTCACTGCTGCCTCCCCTAATTGGTCATGAGCATCTGTGAGCTGGGAACAGTTTCAGTTTTTCTCTAAGCACCCTGCAGGATATCTTCCTTTGATAAATCCTCAATACTCAGAAAGCAGCCAGCAATGGGACCAGTCCTGGAATGTTCTGTTCCCTCTACCTGAAAAACTCTCCCTTATTCTGTCTGGACAATTTTTAATGAACTTAAACAGCTGTGTCTGACGGAAGCTTTCACAATGGTACTGTCCCTTTGACCTTACCTCCCCAAATAAATATGGGGTCCTTCAGTGAGGGCTTTGTCATCATTGGCTCCTTTTGTTACAGCATTTTCTAAGTTGTAGCCCATCTAATCATTTCTTTTCCTGCACCAGACCGTTGATTTCATGAAGGCAGGAGCCAGGGGAATCCTAAACTCCCTTGCATTCCCAGCAACCAGCACAGAGCAGGACATGTTAAGAAGATGCCCAATGCATCTGTATTTTTTTAGTTTTGGTTATTGTAAGTCTGATGCTAAATCTACAATTGGTTTCTCATAAGATATTTGAGCAGGAAATATAGTTTTCAGGGTAGGAGGAATTTCATTTTTTCCCCTTCTCTTTAATTGCCAATGGGCATCACAAAGCACAGAGGTCTCCAGTCTAATAGGGATAAGTTCAAAATACTATTCACTAACTAAATCTCCCCTAAAACAGCCAATGCAGTTTTGGGGTCTATTTTAGTATATCTTGTAGACCCTATAGAAGACTTTCATTAGACTTACAAACCTCATCAATGATCTTGGTATAAAGATCTCCCTGCACATGGCACAGGATGTGAACCACCAAGACTGCAAGAACTACTCTGTTTCTGCATGTGCCCAAAGGAAGCCTCTCAGAGGTCATGTAAGGGTAAAAGAAATTGAAGTTAAAGGGTAAAAGACCAGGTATTGTAAAGTTTCTAAGCTGCAAGGTCTGAGTTAAAATGTAAAGGATTAGGTATTGTTAGGTTTCTATGCTACCTGCAAAACCTGAAATCCCTGTAGCTGTTAGGACAATACTGGAACTGCCCAGTAAATATTCCCACTGACTCCCTGGTTGTCTAATAACTTGGGACTCTGTGTAACTTGTCACGAAGTCATTTAGGCCCTAAAACCAATCAGTTTGAATGTGTACCCCGCTTAGGAGTGACCAATCACCCCCGTCCGACCTGTTCCCGCCAATGAATGAACTAATCATGTTTAGGTGTTGTTGTTCAATTTTCCCCGCGCCTCATGATGATTTGTTCTGATGTATACAAAGCCCCCCGACCTCCCCAAAAAGTGTACTTAAGCACTGCTTGACCTCTGCTCTAGGCTCTGGGCTGCCCTCCCTTCTTGAGCGAGCCTGCCTGGAGCCTCAGCGCGCTGAATTGGATCCTCAATAAACTCCCTCCTGCTTATTGCATGAAGCCAGTCTCTTGTGGTCTCTTCCTCCGACGCTTCACGGGACCCTTACAGTCAAAGGAAACTGTAAGCCATTTATTCTTGCCTTTTCTTTTCAGGCTCTCATTAAAGAAGTTACTGGATTAAAAAAAAATCAAATTCCCAGTATAGGCAATGTGACACAATAATGTGACACAGGCTGAAATCTCCATGATGAATGTGTTTTGTTTTAATCCTGCCAGACTCTCTATGGTTGTTCCTATGTATAACCTACTTTGGAAACGCTTATGTCAAAAACCTAAATTTGAAGCTGGGACCAAATGCTTCAAATCCAAATCGTCACCCCACCAGCCCTGCTTCAAAGAAGGCATCACCCAGGTTTGATGAATGAATGAATGAATGAATGAGTGAATAAATGAAATAGCACAGGCATTCAGCATGAGTCAATCTTATCACAGCACTTTATAAACTGTGCACTGCAGGACGTTCGGGAAGGTTACTGCAGGATTTCTAACTAGGCTAAGCGCCCCAAACGCTCTCTCTTCCCTGCAGTGGCTCAAACGCGGCGAACCCACTTTGCACGTGGGCCGGACACTTGTCCATCCTTTCCCAGTCGAGCCCCGCCCCCAGCGCGCGCCTCCCCCGCCCCAGCCGCCGGAAGTGACGTCCGTCACGGCCTAGCAACAGTTGCCAAGGAGCTCGTCTCTAGGAACTCGCTGGAGCCCTGGTGCCTCTTAGGGGGGTGGGGAAGTGGTTTCTTGAGGAGAATTTGAGGTAACCTCGCCAACTCGCGGTCGGAAGCTCCCCCGAACCCTGAAACGGGAGAGAACTCCCGCTCCCTTCTGGGCCCGGCGCCGCCTCTCGCCGGGGGTCGCAGCGGTTCAGTCCGCAGTCGCGGGTCGGGCCCCGCTGGGCCTCGCGGGGATGCAGGCCGCTGCCCCGCAGGCGAATCTCGGGGGCGCCCTCGGCAGTCCCGCGCAGGGCCTGGCCGGGCGCGGGTTCTCGGTCCCCTCTCCGCTGCCCGCGGCGCCGGGGACGCCGTTTCTGGAGCTCCTCGAGGCGGCGGGTCAGCCGGGTCTGTCCGGGCGGGCGCTGCGCCCGATGAGACGCACGCCCTGGTTTTCATTCTCCGCACGGCCCTCGGTGCCCGCGTGGGTGACGCTCGTGAACCGTGCGGCCACTCGGCCTGGAGGAGCCGCAGTAATTGCGTTTGCTCATTTTGGAGCGCAGAGCCCGCCGGGCGCAGGCTGCCTGCCTGGATGCTGCGCCTTTGTCCCCCGCGAGCGAGCGGGTGGGTGACGAGGGTGGGGGAAACCCGGGAACGTCTGGCTCGTTTACCCAGAGTATTTATTTGGTTGTTGAAAGAGGAAACAAAGACTAGCCATGTCGATAATTTTCAAGTCATTAAAAATTATGCCCGCGTGAAGATTTCGACGTGGAATTTTACTTAATGTACTTTGAACCGTGGAAAAAGTGCGCCTCCAATGTAGATATTAAAATATATATATGCGCTCCCTTTTTTTCCCTTTTATAGCTTAAAGGAAATCTCAAATTTATAAGACACGTAGGTCCTATCTGTCCTCTTTTGGCTTATTGTTATTACTCTAATTTTTAGTTTTAACTATAGTTGGTAATATCTTTACCTGTTGATGTATTTTGAATATCCAGCTCCACACCCCCAATTAAATCCATTTCAGAACAACGTGCTTATGTCTTGAGTAAAATGGCATCTTTCCATTTCATGGTTTTTACATATAAGGAGCACTGAAGTAACTTGTTCTTTTTAGCAGTTCATTTTGTAATTGCTAAGTTAAAGCAACTTACCTTGGTAAAGTTGTTTCAGCAATTAAGAAATCAAATATTCAATATTTTGCAAAGTTGTGATCATTTTTACCACTAGCCTGATTTATTTTAGACTTAGTCTTCCATTTTTTTCCTGACCTTAGGCCTGTGAACAAGTTCATTCAGTCTAGTGGAAGGAAGTCAGTTTTAGATACAGCGAGTGTTCACAAGAGGAATTGGACAGAAACACCACCCTCATGGAATTTACAGTTTTACAGAAAGGAAAAATGTATACATAGAAACTAGTACAAGATAAAAGGTTACCCAGAGAGTGAAGTGCCAGGGAAGTGTGGTCTGCTTGGCAACAGGCACTGTTTGTTCTGCTGCAGAATCTAAGATAACTTGAGAAAGTTGAACTTGAATTTCATGGGCAGTGCTTGAAAGATGGTTGAGATTTGCAACCCAGGATGTGGGGAAAAGGGGGGAGCATTCTAGGTAAAGAATACATTAACTGAAGATAGAGAAGTAGAAAAACTATATAAGGAGCAATGACTATTTCAAGGGGCTGAAGTTTGAAAGGGTGAAAGTTAACAATTTGGAAATGAAGTTGGAAAAGTTAAGTAGAGCTTGGTTTTAGAAGTCTTGAAGACCAAGAAGTTGGACTTTTATTTTGTATGTGAGAAGCCTACAAATGATTTGTAATGGAAAGAAGGGGAGACTAGTGACTTTCCTCATCGAAAGCAAAAGAAAATGAAGGCTTGAATTACTCAGGGTGGCAGAGTTGATGCCTACCAGGCTAAACTGATAACAGAAACCGGTGAAGAGTTTTTGGTGGATACTGACACTAAAGAGTGCATGCTGAGGCTACGCCCTCACTCCACTTTTTTGGCTCCGCCCATGCAACCCAGCCAACTGGCCTCAAGAGCAGGAGGATTGGGGGAGGTGGAGAGGCTTGTGGTTGTGAGAGAGGCTTGTGGGAAGCCGGTGGTGGCAGTTGGGCTCTGAGGGTTTTTCCTGAGGAGCAGTTTTGTTTGGCGTGTGTGGTTCTAAAAATAAAGTTCGTTTCTTTTGACAAGTGGCTCCTGAATTGTGCCCAGCCAGACTGCGGCATTTGGTGGCCAGTACGCGGATTGAACCCTCGACCAGCTTCAATTGGTCAGAGCTAAGCATGAATGTAGGTCCAGGCAAGTCAGATCTGATTTTCAAGAGAAATTGGACATCTAGACTTCAGTGTAAAAATCTCCCTATTTTAAAAATGTGAACTGCTAATAATAAAAAAATAATAATTAGAAGACTGTCTGTAACCAAATGCTAACCCCTCAGTGGAAGTTGTAGAGCTGTGTAGGAGATGAATGTAGGTAGGATTTATTAGTCATTTGTCCATGTTAATTCTGGTGATTATTATCATATCTGAGGCATATGCCAAAACATTTGATGTTAAAAATAGTATATACTGCAGCTTTTTTAATAAAGCCTTCATACTCCAATTTCTTTCAATAAAATAGCCCTGAATTTATAGTGTTTTACATGCCCTGCAGAATTATACCTTTTATGTCTACTTTGTATGGACTTAATTCTGATTTTCCCCCAGAACTTTTGCTGACAATATTGAGACATTGTTTCCTCTATTTTTTACTCTTTAGTTTAATGTTATAAGACACAATTATGAGTGATCAAATCAAATTCATTGTGGACAATCTCAATAAGGAGCCTTTTAAGAAGAACTATAATTTAATCACATTTGATTCCCTGGAACCTATGCAACTTTTACAAGTTCTCAATGATGTTCTGGCTGAGATTGACCCAAAGGTAAGAGTTTTCTCTTTCTCTATAATGGAAAGGTTGGCAAGACAGTCAGTTTCTGCCACTAAATAGCTGTGAGTCTTGGACAAATTACTTAACCTCTCTGGGTCTTATTTTCCATGCCTATAAAGTAATAATAAATGATCTTTAAGGTTTCTCTACCAACTCAAATTTTAAATGATTCACTTGTACCTTATTTAGAAATTGTTTCTCTGTTCTAGACATAAATAGATTTGGCCCTGGAATGAAAACACTTTTACAAAAGGTTTTATTGTATTGCAAGTTAGCTCATGTCTCTCATACACTGGTCTTTTCCACTGGAGACTTTTTTTTTTTTTTTAAGCTTAATGTTCCTAATATGGATCCTGATCTGACTGTGTGTGCTTTCATTTGAATCTGGGGGCTCCCATACTGTTTTGTGAAGAGACTAGTGTGCCTGTTATACTCTAGCAAAACAATTTTGTCAGTAAGTTTAAATATTGTTCTTTGTTAAATGTGTAACAATGACATATTTTTTAATTTCTTTATTTGTTAGCAAGTTGTTGATATCAGAGAGGAGATGCCAGAGCAGACAGCCAAACGGATGTTGAGCCTTCTTGGTATCCTTAAATACAAACCTCCGGGAAATGCCACAGACATGTAAGAATCTGCTCAAGTATTCCTTTTATTTTCTTTTTTAGTGGTGCTAGGGGTTGAATCAAGGGCCTCACACATGCCAGGCAAGCTCTCTGCCACTGAGCTACATCCCTATCCCCCCCCCCTTTTTTTTTTAATATTTTTAGTTGTAGATGGACACAATACCTTTATTATATATTTATTTTTATGTGGTACTGAAAATTGAACCCAGTGCTTCACATTTGCTAGGCAAGTGTTCTACCACTTAGCTACAACAACCCCAGACCCTCATCCCTTTTTATTTTATCTTGAGACAGGGTCTTGCTCCATTAACCAGGCTGACCCTGAACTTACAGCTGGGATTACTGGCATGTGCCACTGTGTCCAGCCTCACATATTGCTTCTTTCATTGCTCCCAGCCCTTTTTATTCATTTACTTTTTAAATTTTGAGACAGGCTATCACTAAGTTGCCAGGACTGGTCTTGAACTTGTGATTCTCCTGCTTCAGCTTTCAGAGTCATTGGGATTATAGGTGGGCACCACTGCACCCAATTATATATTGCTTTCTTAAAATCATGGTTTAACGTCTGACTTTCAGGTGTCACAATCAGTCATTTTAGACAATACTTGATCTCCCTGATTCAATGGCCTGAGGATATCACTGAATTTTAAAATAGTCTTAAACCTTCTAATACCACTTTGTCATGCAAAAGTCTTAAGTGGGTCAGTTCTTTGCTCTAACCAAAAAAAGTCAGGTAGAGGCTGGGATTGTGGCTCAGCGGTAGAGCACTCCCCTAGCACGGGCAGACCCGTTCGATTCTCAGCACCACGTAAAAATAAAGGCATTGTGTTGTGTCCATCTACAAAAAAAAAAAAAAAAAAAAAAATCTCTCTCTAAAAAACAAAACAAAAAAAATGTCAGGTAAATCCATTATACCATTTTATCATTATCTGTCATCCTAGATAAAAAACAAACACTGCCCAGTCAATGAAGTCTGACTATGCGTATGAATAGTTTCAACATAACTTCCTTGGATACTTTGGTGATATATTGGGGGCTCAAATTTCTGAATATAAGATTAACTTTAGAATAGCCTTGGGTTTATCTTTTTAAAGTAGTTGTAGAAAACAACCAGGATGTTGTAAATCAGATTTTGAGCAAAAACTGACTCTTCCAGTTTCACTGATAAGCATTTGTGTGTGCATCTTTCTTAGGAGTACCTTCCGTCAGGGTTTAGTGATTGGAAGTAAACCTGTAATTTACCCAGTGCTCCACTGGCTTCTCCAGAGAACTAGTGAACTGAAGAAAAGAGCATATTTAGCTCGTTTTTTAATAAAACTTGAGGTACCAAATGAGTTTCTTCAGGATGAAACTGTGGCTGACACCAATAAACAGGTATGTATTACATGAATTTGGTATTTTGAAACTATCTGTAATGGATTTCAAGATGTGCATATTCAAATACACGTTAATTTCTTTTTAATTGTTGTGTCTGTATTTCCAGGTGGCACAAAGGTAGAACAATATCAGCTAAAGTCAGCTGCAGTCACATCTTAAAATAATGACTTTTGTACACAAATACCTTTTTAGTAATAAAAGGAGTATATGGATAGGAAGTAAAAACCCTGAAATTAAGATTTCAGAATCTGCCATGTCTACACAATATTACTTAGTAGTTGTGAGTAGACAGGATCCTGGGCTTGAAATTGCAGAGAGCTTTGTTCATCAGTAAGGTAACTGTACAATTTGTCATCCAAATTTGATAGAAACAGGCTATCATAATAATTGCATCAGGATAAATGGTGTAAATCGACCTTATCCTAGGCTTTTTGGAACTGCTGAGCCCCTGCAAGGAAGTAGGTAAAGAAGCCACACTGCAGCCTCAAAAGATGTAAAGATAGGCTGGGAGTTTGAAGTTTCAGTGCATTTTTCTCACAGAGTTTTGTAGTAACACTGGGTTCTGGCCTATGCTCTTAAAGCTCTTGATTACTGAGGATTCTGGCTGGTCTGGTTCCTGGTCCTGAGAACCCAGAGCACATTGCTGGTCAAAGACTGCAGAAAGAAACCAATCTTTTAATCAAAAGGAGTTTGATTAAAAAAAAGGTCTCCATTTAGTGTTTTGAACTTTTATAGCAAAGCACTCGTTTGGACTGACTTGTGCCAGTTTGTTATGAGTAGTTTGGCAGCCTGTCTGTCCCAGTAGATTGTGAGGTCTGGTGAGACAGGTATCATGTATTATCCATCTTTGTTTTCCCCCAGGATTCTGTGTAGTGGCTTGTATATGTTGCTCAACATTTGGATTGAATCAAAACAATCAACTGAGTGTTTTTCTTTTTCATCCATGTTTCATTTTTTTGGGTAGACATGGTAGTCACTCAAAATAGAGTCAGTATTGATCTCTTAAGACAATAGTTATGCAGATAATATCAGATGTCATAGTAGATGCTCAGCAGAATGAGACACCACCCCTTCTCTACTTTTTGAAGATTCCATGTAATATAGAGGAAAAAGAGAAGTATAAATATGAAATATTTTCTTCTCCCTTCCATTCCCCCATTAATGAATTTGATAAGAACTAATTTCCTTAGAGGAATTTTATTCATAGTTTTTACTAAATTTGCCCAGCTAATTAATGAAAGAATGGCAATGAGGACATATTTGTTTATATATAAAATAACTTATACATTTAACTGGTCATTTAGCAAAGACTAAAAAAATGCATACTTTCTTTCTGAATGAAGAGTTTTAGAACAAATAATTTGTAGATATATAGGATATGAACAGTCAAGAAAAATATTATTAATTTTCTGACATTGTCCAGGAAATTATCATTTAAAAACTACTATTCACTACTACTATTTTTTTTTTTTTTTTGGTTTTGGGGATTTCAACCCAGGGTATTGTACATTCTAGGCAAAGTGCTCTACCACTGATTGCACACCTGGACCTTCCAAAGTCCTATTCTTTTTTTTCTTTCTTTCTTTGTGCTACTGGGGATTGACCCCACAGGTGCTCTATCACTGAGCTATATTCCCAGCCCTTTTTATTTTTGAGACAGTCTTGCTAAGTTGCCAATCCTGGCTTGAACTTGCCATCCTCCTATCTCAGCCTCTTGAATAGCTGGAATTATAGGCATGTGCCACCACACCTGGTCCCAAAGTATTATTGTTCAAAAAAAATTGGATAAAGTTGTGATTTTTTTCATTTGACTATTTATTAAACACCTGTATGAATTATGCACTGTGGTAAGTCCCAGGAGTACAAAGGTGTACACAATGGATATGATTCTTGTCTTCCTGATTCTCACTGTCTAATGGAAGAAGACAAACAAGTAACTTGTCTGTTATAACTTTATATGCTATCTACTCTGATAGGATAGGTACAGGGCTAAAGAAGGCTGTTCTGAGAATTACGATATTTATGCTGAGACCTGTAGGATGAATCAGAGTTATTCAACTTAGGGATGAGGACATAGAGTTTCTCAGAGCGAGAGGGTGTGTAAGCTGGAGATAAGATCATGTAATGTTCCAGGGGCTGAAAAAAGATTATCATAGGTAGAGTATAAAGTGTGAGGTGGGAAAGTAACCAGAGATGAAGCTAGAGAGGTATTTATTGGCCACATTGTACAGATGTACTTTTCTGTGTCCTGTATAAATGTTTGAGAATGTGTTTTTAATGCTGTTGTTACAATGGTTTAATAATCACTACAAGTTTAAACGCTTGATTAAGAAATCCCTACTGGCTTGGTGTAATGCCTATAATCCCAGCAGTTTGGAAGGCTGAGGCAGGAGGTTTGAGTTCAAAGCCAGCCTCAGCAACTAAATGAGGCCATAAGCAACTTATATCCCGTTTCTAAATTTAAAAAGAAAGAAAGAAAAGGGATGTTGCTCAGTGGTTGAGTGCCCCTAGGTTCAGTCTCTGGCGCCATTAAAAAAAAAAAAAAAAAAGGTAAAAAAGTAATCCTATTATAGAATTTATGATTTAATGACATTCTTCTTTTAGTATGAAGAGTTGATGGAAGCCTTTAAAACTTTGCATAAAGAATGTGAGCAGCTGAAAACATCTGGATTTTCTACAGCAGAAATCAGAAAGGTAAAGGAAAAAAACATAATTTTTTGGATTTGGATAATATTGGATTTTGCATTTTCATTTGTCGTTAATTCAGTATGAGTTTTAAGATTTTATGGAGACTAATGACAGCAAATGGCCAGGGTAAATTTACAGCAAGTTCTATGTACTGAGTAAATCACTAGAAGGGGTTTTAAAAGATTGTTGAGTCTTTATGTGGTAGAAAATATACAGAAAAACAAAAAAAGGAAAAAAATCATCTTGTATGTATTGGGGATCACATGATACATACTTATTTATATCTTGCCTTTTAATTATTACATTGTGGATACAGTCCCTTTGTTGTTTTTCTAAAAAAAATGATTTTTCATGATCAACCTATATTCCCAAATGTGGGTAACTTAACTATTTTTAGTTTTTTGTTTTCAATTTTTGCTCTTATAGATAATGCTATGATTATTTTCCACATAATGTTTTTGGCATGTCTATGATTATTTCCTTAGAATAAATTCTAGAAATGGAATTGTTTGTTAAATCACATGAAAAATTTGACAACTTTTGATGCATGTTATTAATGTTCCCTAGAAAATATTTTTATATTTTCACCAAGCATTTTAAGTTCTTTCCTCAAACTATTACCATACTGACTTGTATGGATTTTGTGCTTTTAGAATTCCTGAGTTTTCAATGCCATTTTTATATTCTAATTTAGACACATTAGAAGTTGCTTCCTCAGGGAAGCCTTCTCTAATTCATTAAATAGATTAGTTACCTCTATTATTTCTTTTATAGCACTCATTACACTTATTAATTACTTTAATGTCTGTCTTCCAATTACCTTTAAGGGCTATGACGGTAAGTACTGTATATCTTATTTGCCCCTATATTCCTAGTCTCCATCACAGTGCTTGGCACAGGGTAGGTTCTCAATAGGAGTTTATTGAATATTAGGAATGAAGATGAACTCAGATGTAGTAAGGGAGAAAAGACCAATAAGTACATACTTAAAGTAGCATGGAAGATGATTGATATTCCTCTCCTGTTCTTCATTATGTCCTATGAATAAACCAAAATGTTAAAAGAACCTGGAGTTTATATTTTAATTTCACTCATTATTACCAAAGTATTCTTGAATATATTCTTTGTAGTAAGTTTAGAAAATGTGATTAAATAAGAAATAGAAATAGAAAATAATTCACTCATAATCCCATGTTCTAGAGATAACCACTGTTGACATTTTGATAAATATATTTAAATCTTTTCCTTGATATTATACTGTACATACATACAATTTATAATTTACTTCTTTCAAGTAATGTCATATCATGACTTTTTCTCATGCCATTAAACATTCTTCTACATAATATTTAATAATTTTCATTATATAATGTAGTTTATTTAATAATTCTCAGACATTTAGATTTTTTTCAAATTTTAGATATAGTTAGTAAGAATCCTTTTTAAAAAGTCTGTGAAAAAAAACTCTGTGGCTTTTCATGAATATTTTATTAGGATAGATTCCCCAAATGTAGCATTATTGAGCTAGAAGGGATGCACATTTATTTTATCTTATATTATTTTTTATATACTGCCACCAGTAGTGAGTGAGAGTGCCCATTTTCTCAAATTTTGCCAATACTGACTAATATGTATATTTTACCTTTGGTATTATTGTATTAGTTTTTTCAGGTTTAGGAAGGATTTTTGTTTTCATTGAAAAATATTATGGAACTGGTTAAAAGGAAGGTAATTTATTTATTACTTACTTATTTTTAAATATCTTGATTTTATTCTTACTTGGAATGTATTGTCCATTCCCACATTTCTTTCTCTTTAATTTTGGATTTTTAATGTAATATTTTAAAAAGTTTAATAATCAGAGAGAGGTGATTTATTTTTAGGGAGAGAATTGGTTAGTTGGCAAAAACAGATATAATTTATGTCTTAAAATCACCATAGCCTTAAAAATAATTTTGATGGAAAATTGGCAGAATACATGGTTTGGCATTTAACAGAGCAGATGGGATGTCAGCAGCTGTTGTTCATGTATTTAGACCTGCACACTTTCCATTATAGAGAATCTTTAAAAAATCATGTGCCCATATTTGGAATCAGAACACAGATGTGTCAGTTGGCAGCTTCACCTTGCTGCGTTTTAACCTGCTTTAGTTGCTTTTCTAGATGAAAACCAAGTTGCCAAAAAAATTACCCTTCATAAAGAACCCGAGGGAAAAATAGAAATGCCCTTTGTCCAAAAGAGAATTTTTGTTCCTTACTGCTCTGGTTCTAAATGATGAAAATGGTCGATGCATAATCGTATAAAAATCTTATCTCATTTCTAAGTTTTTAATGTCCTCTTTACTACTTTTTAGGATATTAGTGCAATGGAAGAAGAAAAGGATCAGCTCATTAAGAGAGTTGAACGTTTGAAGAAAAGGGTAAGGAAAGAATTAGTACTGTAGAATTTGGCCCGAAGTCCTAAGGACTGGCAAAGATTTAGGAATGCAAATAAAGATTAAGCCAGGCATGGTTGTACATCTGAGGATGAACTCAAACGACATTGAGGGAAAGGGAATCTCCGTAGGCAGTAGCCCAAAACTTTTAAGGACCTGGAGTCTAGAGCTTTGCTGACATCTCTAGGGAGTACTGTTTACCAAAAGGAAATGATAAGTGGATGTCTGTGTCACGTGACATGCTAATTTATTTCTCAAACCTGACAGTAACATGTACTACTTATTCCCTTACTGTAGGTGGAGACAGTTCAGAATCATCAACGGATGCTTAAAATAGCAAGGCAACTTCGAGTTGAAAAAGAGAGAGAAGAATTTCTTGCACAACAGAAACAGGAACAAAAGAATCAGGTATCCACGAAAAGTTTGTATTCTCAGGATGAAAGAAATTGTTCCTTCTGGTAATTCAAATGTAAAGAGCAAAGAATTTTAGAATTGTATTTTGTGGCAACAACAATACCTCCTTTTGGGTGCTATACTTTGTATCTATATTTTTTTGGTTGATTCTTAGCTCATGTTCCAGTATTACAGATTTATTATAATATTAAGCAGTAAGATTAACTGCTCATGAAATTTATAGAATTTCTAAAGGATGTCTTTAGATTCTGGGACTATAGGAACATCCTTTTTGTTCCACTGATCTACATTTTACTCTAGTGGCAAATAAGTGAATCATGAACAGGTTCAAAATCACAAGAAAAAAATAATCTGGCCAGAAAGTATTACTTTTATTTATTAAAAATCTATCTTGAAATCTGAGTAGACTTGTACATTAAAAATATATTATAGGGGCTAATATAAAAATATATTATAGTGGTACAGCACTTGCCTAGCAAGTATGAGACACTGGGTTCAATCCTCAGCACCACATAAAAATAAATAAATAGAACAAAGATTTTTTAAAAATTATATATATATATATATATATATATATATATATATATATTACAGGAGCTGGGGTTGTGGCTCAGTGGTAGAGTGCTTACCTGGGTTCGAGTCTCAGCACCACATATAAATAAATAAAATAAAGGTACATTTCAATCTAAAATAAATATACATTTAAAAAATATATATTCAAATCAATTTTATTTTTGACTACATTGGAAGTTTAGATATTTAGCTGTATTGGAGCTTGATTTGGCAGCATAGTACTTTCTCTGCATCAGTAATCTGCATTTTCTAAGCCTTGAATGGTTATTTAGCATTAGTTTTTGATTCTGAGATAGCAATTGTTAGCATTTCTTAGGATTAAGAAAACCTGCTATAATGAGAAAAGCCTGATGCATTTATTTCTTAACAAATATTTTTCCTTAATCCCCAAATTCAACAAATAACTAAAGAAAAAAATTTTAATATTTATTTTTTAGTTACAGGTGGGCACAATATCTTTATTTTTTATTTTATGTGTTGCTGAGGATTGAACCCAGTGCCTCACGCTAGGCAAGTGCTCTACCTCTGAGCCACAACTCCAGCCCTACAGAAAATTTTTCTGAAAGATTTTTTTTTTTTACATATATTTTTGGTTGTAGATGGACACAATACTTTTATTTATTTTTATGTTGTGCTGAGGATCTAACCCAGTGCCTCACATGTGCAAGGTGCGTGCTCTACCACTGAGCCACAACCCCAGCCCTGAAAGATTAAAAAAAAATTTACATGAAAAGGAATTGAGAGAACCAGTTACATTTTTTATTTAACAGCAATTTTCTTAGCTCTTAATATTTGTTCCTTTTATATTATAAGAAGTATATGTAGAGGCTGGGGCTGAGGCTCAGTGGTGGAGTACTCGCTTAGCATGCATGAGGCACTGAGTTGAATCCTCAGTACCACATAAGAATAAATAAATAAAATAAAGATGTTGTGTCCATCTACAACTAAAATCCATTTTAAAAAAGAAAGAATTATGTGTATTTCCTATTGTTTGCCTATATGAGTGATAAGTTTTTAATACATTAAGCAAGTCATAAATCTAATTGTATTTTAAAGCTATTTCATGCAGTGCAGAGATTGCAAAGAGTACAAAACCAGCTGAAAAGTATGCGCCATGCTGCAGCAGATGCAAAGCCTGAAAGTAAGTGGAATATTATATAATATCTGTCAATATAAAATATTATTTAAAAAATATTCCTGAAAGTAGTAGATTAATGGGAATTAATTATTATCAAGTGATAGCTCAGTATTTTGGAGCATCATTTTCCAACTATAAGGTTTCATCTTTGTAAAAAAAAAAATTCATACCCACCCCTCAAAAAAAAAAAAAAAAAATTGACCAGTTTTTCAGTTAGGGCAAAGAAAATGATAATGACTGGCAAGAAAAGCCCTCCAGTGTACACTTATATAAGTACTTGGAATGGATGTTATGAAAAAGATGAATGGAAAAATGGGAATGATTGCTTTAGAACCAGGGCTATAAAGAAAAAAAAGATACTAAGCCCTTAAAACTGAGTGTTTTTCATGTTTTGGTTTGTAGAATAACAGTACTAATGATGTGGGCATTCCTGGCTCTGTTACATAGGTCTACACAAATGATACGTTGTTCTGATACCCCAGATCATACCACCAAACCCATCCTAGGTATATTGAAAGTTTTTAGCTCATTAGGAGGGAGGCCGCACACATTGGAAGAGTAGTACAAAGCTATCATTTGTATTTGAGAGATTACAACATAAATATCTAGCTGATAGAGGGTTAATTCCTCTTTTTATAGTAATCTATAAAATATTACAGATGCAATACGTAAAGTGTCTGTAATAAAAAGGCATATAAAATTACAAGTGTTGACAAGAATGTGGAAAAATTGGGACTCTCATGTATTGCTTTGTGGGAGTGCAAAATGATGCAGCTGCTTTGGGAAACAGCTTAGCAGTTCCTCAAAATGTTAAACATAAAAGTTACCATATGAACCAGCATTTCCATTCTTAGGTATATACCCACGAGAATTGAAAACACATGTCCACACAAAAACTTCAACACAAATGTTCATAGCAACATTATTCATAATAGCCAAAAAAAGAGAGAAAGAAACAACCCTTATGTCCCTAAGATAATGAATGAATTAACAAAATGTGGCATATCTACACAATGGAGTATTATTCTTCCACAAAAAAAGAATGAAACATTGATATATCCATGAAGCTTATGGCATGTATGAACCTCAAAAACATGGCTAAGTAAAAGATATCAGCCACATACATATTGTGTGAACCCATTTATATGAAGTGTCCAAAATAAGCAAATTCATAAAGACAGAAATCAAATTAGTGGCTGTCTAGAGCTCAGAGCACAGCTGCGTGATTGGGGGGAACTGGAGAGAGAGGAAATAACTGCTGTAGCGTTTGGAGACTTCTCTTGGAATTGATAATAATGTTCTAAAATTGATGGTGCTTATAGTTGCACGATTGTGCTATACTGAAAGCCATTAAATCATATACTAAATGGGTGAATTCTATGGCATGTAAATTATATTTCAATAATATTGTGTTTCCCTAATTCTAGACACCAGTTTTTTCTTATTTTAGTTGTTTTTGTGGTTGGTATACATCTTAACTTTTTTTTTTTGGTGCTGGGGATTGAACCCAAGACCTAATGCATGTGAGGCAAGCACTCTATTAACTGAACTATATCCCCAGCCCGTATATCTTACGTTTAACATGGTATTTGTAATCTATTTCATGGTATCTTACAGTTGAGACACCTAAAAATCAAGGAAAAAAGACATGCGTAATTGAAATTTAAGAAAGTAGGACAATATTTCTTATATGATGAATAGTTGATATATGTCAACTTTTGACTTTCCACATAATCTCACTCAGTGCAGTCATAAATTCTAATTCAAGCAATAACTGAAAGTAAGCATGCACTTAATTGTTGGTATCACTTGATTCTTTATTTACTAAGTTTCTATTTTTTTATAACTTTATTTTATTTATTTATTCTTTTATGTGGTTCTCGAACCCATTGCTTCACACTGCAAGGCAAGCCTTTTGGTTACCACTGAGCTGTAACCCCAGCCCCTAAGTTTCTTCTGCTTTTAGGAGAATGTTAATTTTCAACACAAAAGTAAAATTTTTTTTCTATAGGACAACTTATATCTGTTTAGTATATGTTCTTTGATTTTGATGTAAGGTTACTTTACATCTTTATTATAAAAAATTAAGATGAATCTTCAAAAGAAATCCATTAAAGTACAGCTGTTTTAAAATTAATACCAATAAGTTTTACAAATAGTACCTATTATTGATAATACCTATTGATAATTTTTCTTTCCATTCAAAATTACGTCTCAACTCTCAACTCCCAAATACTTAATAGAATATTTATTAAATTTGTGGATACAAAGAAAAATTATCTTTCCCATTGTTAGGAGGCCAAGTGAGAAAAAAATGGCTGAAAATATAGATAGAAATGCATTATGTATGTGATATATGTATTTTGTGGGTGGATAGGGAGTGGGGATAGGAGGTTAAGGAGTTCCTGCTTTGTTTACATCTTTCTGGAAAATGGATAAGAGTTTTGTTCAGTAGCCTAGGGAAAGAATAAATTAATCAGATGTTTGTCTAATTTTGGTATTTAGTGTCTAATTTTTGTAATAACAACAAAAAAATGGTTTGCAGAGTTTATTTCTATTTACTTAATTAACATAAAAAGTAGTTTTAGTATGACAATGTAATTTGTGATTTTGTAGCATAACAGCCATATTATAAAACATTCACTGAAGTTAATATAACTGTACATACTATACACTCATGAAATTTATTACATAAGAGAAACCATTCAGTAAATTACACAGGATCAGTGAGAAGCTTTCAGAGCATTTTTAATCTAAAAGTTTGCTGTGATCTTGGTGACTTTATATTTCTTTTCTCCAGGATATTTAAAGATAATGATTTAAAAATTTTGCATAGAAACATTTGACTAGTTTCAGCTCTATAAAAGAATTTAAATTTTAAAAAAGTGTTTGTTATTTTTTTACCTTTATTTTATTTATTTATTTTTGTGTGTTTCTGAGGATCAAATCCAGTGTCTCACACATGCTAGGCAAGCACTCTGCCACTGAGCTACAGCCTCAGCTCAAAAACTTAAAGTTTGATGTTAACTCTGCGTTAGTATTTTAACAGCTTTATTGAGGTAAAATTAATATAACAAACTGCACATAAAGTGTATACTTGGTAAGTTTTGATATAGGTATACATTGATGAAGATATCAACTCTTAATGAAAATAATTATCTATTACCCCCTTTTGCCTCTTTGTAATGTCTTCTGTCCTCCCCATCACCAGGCAACCATTTTTAGGAAAAAATATAATTGAAGAATTTTATGTTTTAAAAACATTTTAGCAGGCTGGGGTTGTGGCTCAGAGGTAGAGCGCTAGCCTACCATGCGTGAGGCACCGGATTCTATCCTCAGCACCACATAAAAATAAAATAAAGATATTGTGTCCACCTATAACTAAAAAATAAATATTTTAAAAAAACATTTTAGGCTTTGATTTATGCATCTCTAGTTACGTGAGGTATATTTAAGAACCTGAAGATGGAGGAGCTAGTCATCTAACACCCAGACAGCCAGAGGAACTGGAATGTAGATTTAATTGGAAACCACCTAGGAATGATTACCTGATTTTTATTATAGTGTGATTCATTAAACACTTTTCTTTCTCTCCCTTTCTTCAATCCTGAAAAAGGGGGAAGGTTGAAGGCATGAATAGAAAACTTGTAAATTTGCCATTAGTGCATTTTTATATGTTTTATTGGTACAACAGAACTTAAAATATTTGAAGGTTTTGGGCCATATTTATTATGCAATTTACATATATAGATTACTTAAACAGGAAACCCAGCATTTTAAAAAGTCAAGCCAGGGATTGGGGTTGTGACTCAATGGTAGAGTGATTCTTGCCTAGCACGTGCAAGGCCCTGGGTTTGATCCTCAGCATCATATAAAAAATAAATAAATAAATAAAATAAAGATATTTGTCCAACTACAACTAAAAAGCAAAATAGTAAAAAAAAAAAAAAGTCAAGCCAGATTTTGTAAATGTATAATAAAGATATGAAATAAACTTTATAAAGCTTTCTAGGCTGGAAATTTATATAACAAAATCATTATTCACTGAAAATCAATATAGTCATACATCTGACCAAAGTAAGAAAAGTATTTACTCTTAAAAATACAATTTAAGTTGACGCTTAACTGTAAACTAATACATTAAAATATAAAAGCTACCAAACCTAAAATATTAATGAATGTAGATAATTTATTTTTCTTTTCCAGATTTTATACCTATAGCAATGTCTTCATTGGTTTGAAACTGATAAATTATAATATATTAATTACTGCTTGTGATGAATTAGAATAGAAATATAAACTGCATCAGAAGTATTACAAAAGAAAAAAAGCATTTATAACTTCTTGTATAAAAGAGCACCTGGGTTAGATTTCATTTACATGTTAGTTCGTGGATTTCTTTTTCTGTTTTGTGGTGTTGGGAATTGAACCCTGGGCTTCCCATATGGTATGCAAGTCCTTTACCACTGAGCTACATTTCCAGCCCTGGTTCATGGATTTCTTAAAAACTTAGAAGGCAAAATATGATCCAACAATATGTCTAGTTCTGCAAATGTCATTTTTGCATATTGAGGGATATTAAAAAATTAGTTTATAAAGTTTGAAAGATCCTAATATCACACTTTTATAATTATAATTATTTGTTCTTCCATTCAGATTGCTGCTTTCATAATCATTTTAATTAGCATCAAAATATTTCAGTGACCCATCTTTTTTTAAAATAATATTTTATACCTTTATTTTTTTAAACATGTATTTTTTAGGTGTTGATGGACCTTTATTTTATTCATTTATTTATATGTGGTGCTGAGAGTCGAACCCAGGCAAGTGCTCTACCACTGAGCCACAAACCCAGCCCCACTTTATTTTTTATTTATTTGTTTTTATGTGGTACTGAAGATCAGACCCAGTGCCTCACATGTGCCAGGCAAGTGCTGTACCCCTGAGCTCCAACTGCAGCCCAGTGACCAATCTTTTAATGCACCATACTAGATATACAGAATGCTTTCAATAGATATGCCATACTGTCCAGGTCTTACATTTAAAAGTGTACAGACTATCACTATACCTACTCTTTCAGGCTGATTATTCACTTATTTTGTTTTTGAAAGGTTTAATGAAGAGACTAGAGGAGGAGATAAAATTTAACTCATATATGGTAACTGAAAAATTTCCTAAAGAAATAGAGAGCAAGAAAAAGGAATTGCATTTTTTACAAAAAGTGGTTTCAGAGCCAGCTATGGACCATTCTGATCTTCTTGAACTTGAATCTAAAGTAAGTGACAATCATCTTTTTATAGCTCCAATTTTATCTCATCCCCAGGTCTGTGAAAATTAAATGAACTGCTTTCTTTAGTGTCCCAGTTAGGACTGAAGTCAACCATGCTAAGAGTTGACAGCTCTTTTGAGGAGTTGTCCTTTATGAGGAATTATAGAATGTTATGTTCCTTAATCTCCATGATGTTATAAAAACCCAGTCAACTGATAAGGAAGCTAAATAACTTCAATATGTAAATTAATACATATGAATTGACTTATGGGCTTATGTATTCATAATATATCATTTACATGACAAATTTTAGAGTACTTTGAATATCATTAATTTTTTTTTTAATATTTATTTTTTAGTTTTCGGTGGACACAACATCTTTGCCAGGCGAGTTCGCTACCGCTTGAGCCACATCCCCAGCCCGAATATCATTAATTTTTATTTCTAAGCATAATATTATGGTAATTCTATACTTAAAGCTGATTTTCTTTTCTTTTTGGTTCTGGGGATTGAACTCAGGGGCACTCAACCACTGAGCCACATTCCCAGCCCTAATTTTGTATTTTATTTAGCAATAGGGTCTCACTGATTTGCTTAGTGCCTTGCTTTTGTTAGGCTGGCTTTGAACTTGCAATCCTCCTGCCTCAGCCTCCCAAGCCACTGGGATTACAGGTGTGCACTTCCATGCCTGGCTGATTTATTTATTTATTTTTATTTATTTATTTTTTTACTTTTCAGTGCTGAGAATTGAACTCAAGGTCTAGTACATATCAGGCAAGTGCTCTATCACAGAGCTGCACTCTCAGCTCTCTAGAGCTGATATTTTTTGTTACCCTTTTTTGCCAGTCTTGGAATTACCAAACTTTCTTGAAACCTGTTTTCATTTTACATTTTTATTTCCTAGAAATAAAACATTAATCAAATGTATATTTTTTAAAATTAATTAACATGAAAAGGTTTTGACTTGCTAATCTTTGAATGTGCTTAATAACCACTACAATTAAATATGTGATTCTGATCATTTTACTCTTTTAATTCACTTAGAGAAATTAGATGTCCAGATCAGATTTGGATCAAATTTAAAGTCATACAATTAACAGAATTCCAACCCTTCAAAGGATAGATATACTGAAAGCCATGTTTTTGTTTTTGTTTTTTAATGTGGTTTTGGGGATCAAACCCAGTGCCTCATGCATGTTAAGCAAATGCTCTACCACTGAGCCACAACCCCAGCCCCATGTCTTGATTTTATTTGTTGAAGAATTATATGCTTCTATAGGATTTATTCAGTTTTATTACATTTTGAAAAGGTTTAATGGCTAGGATAGAAGATAGCTATCAAAGAATGACAGATCTAAGTGCATAAAGGGTTTTAAATGTCATACATGTCAGCTCTCAGCTGAGTTCATGAATTCCTATTAGCTTTATCATTTAATAACGAGTTGAAAGTCATGACCCAGGTGAGGGGATAACTTCAGATTTTTAGAAAGCATCTTTTTAATAATAATGAATAAATATTTCATGTAAAATACTTCATGATAGTTTAGATATGAAAAATAATCAAATTGTACAAATATATATCATGAAATATAAATGTTTCTAAAAGTAATCCTAACAATCCACTCATAACATTAATGAAACTGTTTCTCCCATCAAATCACTGATGGTAAGAGCTAAAAATTCAAAGCTTTTGGCCAGATTTCACTTTGTGTAGTAACAGGGAGAGTTTTTTTCTTTGTAGGGAGAGTTTTAACATTTTTCACTTTCATACTGTTTTAGATAAATGAAATAAACACACAAATTAATCAGCTGATTGAAAAGAAGATGATGAGAAATGAGCCAATTGAAGGCAAACTCTCACTATATAGGCAACAGGTAAGACCATACTTGGACCCTCTCACTGAAATCTGTGATCTTATTGGTGAACATCTTCATCAAATCCCCTGGATGTGTTATCTATAGTCTTAAAGTCAGAAGGAAGAGTAAATGTTCTTTGGTCATTGTTGATCTCCAGATTATAAGTAAGAATTAGTGGGGAAGCCACAATGATACCAGTTCAAGTTTGAAATGCAGTATACCTGATGAAGCTGTTTTCTTAGTGCCTTTTAAAAATGAAAAAGCTCTGTCACCACATTTGATATATAAATATATTTTTTTTTAGTTGTTGATGGACCTTTAATTAATTAATTAATTTATATGGGGTGCTGAGAATTGAACCTAGTGCCTCATACATGCGAAGCAATCACTGTATCACTGAGCTACAACTGCAGCCCTGATAGAGCACTTTTTGTCTTTTTTGTTTAATCTGTAAATGTGGAATTCCATTTTTAAATTAAAGCTTATATTAGGTGGTTTAAATGAAATATTTATAATCTTTAATGAGTCAAAAACAATATACTTTTCAGATTTAAAGTTAGTTTGCAAGGACTGTCCTTTTATTGTCTTCTGACTAATTTTGTTTTTCTATAAAAGCTACTGCTTGTTCGCTATAGTTTTTCCTTTGATTTTTTTACATATATTTTTCGTTGTAGATGGACACAATACCTTTATTTTATTTATTTATTTTTATATATAAAACTATATGACAGGAGAGGGAGAATCTCTAGTGCAAATCCTTTAAAAAATTCTACTGTATTTCCTGTTTGAAAAATGACATCAGGTGATAAAAGACTATTTCTTTTTTTCTTTCTTTTTTTTTTAGAGGGGGGAGACAATTTGGCTGATGTTTTTCTTAAACTAGTATGGTCATGATTCATTAAGGAAAATCCCCCAAGAGTTGCTAGCTAATAAAATGCTGCATTCATGGCTAAGAGCAGCCATTTGGATTAGGTTAACAAAACATAATTCTGATGAGTCAGATGTTTGATTTTGAATCTGCATTTTATTTATTAGAATACTCCAAATATAATAAATGGCTTTAACCTTTCTTTTAAAAAGTCTGGATATTGAGGGGCTGAGGTTGTGGCTCAGTGGTAGAGCGCTTGCCTAGCACATGCAAGGCACTGGGTTCGATCCTTAGCACCACATAAAAATAAGTAAATAAAATAAAGGTATACATACGTGGAGTATAACTCATTTTAAAAAGAAGGTGTGGATATTGAATTTGGTAAGATGACCTGTGTAATAATTCTGAAAATAAAGCATTCTTGTTTTCTTCCAGTGAAAGGGAAAACAATTGACAGTGTTAGCTTCTGTTTACTTACCTAGAATGTATTTTCATTTGCAGTTGAGAAGACTTTAATGTTTTTATTAGTACATTTTTGTTTCTTTGTTGATGACATCTGTCAGGCCTTTTGTCTTCTGAAATGTTTTTCGGTTGGTATTTGGTATATATTATATGCTTATGCTAAATACATAATTGATGATGATGGGGAGTAGGAAAAGGGAACTGGTCAGGAGAAGCCAAACTAAAAAGTTAGCTTGATAAGATCTAAAAGATAGGTAATTTCACAAGATAATGGAAAATTTATTATATGTCTTTTGTTCATATTAAATGCCCAATTAGGCATCCATCATTTCTCGTAAAAAAGAAGCCAAAGCTGAGGAACTGCAGGAAGCCAAGGAGAAGTTAGCCAACCTAGAAAGAGAAGTATCATTAAAGACAAATCAGACCCGTGAATTTGATGGCACCGAAGTTTTGAAAGGAGATGAGGTAAGTTGAGGTATCTCATGGAACAAGGGTATGAATATTGGACTTTCTTTAAACCATTAATGTCTTTGACTTTCTTAGTTCAAATGTTGATAGTAGTTAATCTTATTTTATAAAACTTATTTAAAACTGAAAAAATAATTTGCAGTAATATTAAGACATTTCTTTATATAAAATAGGAGAAATCTTAGTGATTTTATGAGAAAATATTCCAAGTTTTCACTTTTTTATATTGAAATTATTTATTATAAGCATTAAATTATAAAAGACAAACAAGAGTTGTAGAAACTAGCAGGCAATATAAAAGTTCATTTTTGCTTATAAATGTATTTCCATAAAGAGTTAAGAAAATATCACTGAGTTAATATGGTCAATAATGTATATTTGGAGTTGGTAGCTGTGGCACACACCTGTAATCCTAGCAGCTCTGGAGGATGAGGTAGGAGAATCGCAAGTTCAAAGCCAGCCTCAGCAAAAAGCAAGGCACTAAGCAAGTCAGCGAGATCTCTAAATAAAATGTAAAAAATGGCTGGGGATGTGGCTCAGTGGTTAAACATCCCTGGGCTCAATCCCTAGTACCAAATAAAATAAAAATAATGTGTATTTGGCCAGTGAGGCTAGCCCAATAAAATGACCTCATAACAGATGCTTACAAGTTAAAAAACAATGCAGTTATATCTTACATTGCTGTGTACTTTAAATTTTAAACAGTGCTTTAATAGCTGCTGTTGCATTTATCCACTGCCAGACTCATAAGATTAGAAGGAAAAATAATATTGTTTATTGTTAGCTAAACTCAAGCAACAAAAATATAATTCCTCATCCTCTTTTCATAAAATTAGCTCAAGAAAAACTGAGTGAATAAAGCCAAATAGCTTGTCTTAGCTTGGTGCTTTTTTAGAAAATCATATGATGGGTCACATTTGAATTCCTAAACATTACCTGTACTCAACCAACTCTTAAAGGTTTTTGAAATTTTATGTGAACTACTAACCCTCAGCAAAAGCTACTTTGAAAAGCTGCTCATGTCCAAAGCTCATTTTTAGCTTTGGAAAGTTAATGAATTCATACTGTTAAAAATTGGCAGTGAACCTTCACTGTGCCAAACATAAATGAATTGTTTCCATGGTACCATTTTTCTCTGTGGTGTTTCTGATTGTAACCTCCTAAAATGCCTTTTGGCTTGTAGGGGAAGTACTAGATCTAGGAAAGCAACACTCGATTGAAAAATTCCTTTGGGTTTTAACATCCACTTCCAGATTGCTTTAGAATGAGAGTGTTTCAAATGATACTTGGAGGATAGCAGCATGTGCTTCATGGTATCTTTGCTTTCTGTGGGGGGGAGAAAAATTAATTATACAGCAATTTTGCTTTACAAGAGACCATGCTGCTTCCTAGCAGTTTTATCTTAAGAAAATCCTGCCCAGTTGACAAGAAATACTAATTGTGGCCACATTTCACATTTGACATCTAGTATAGTATTAGATGTTCTTGCGTGTAAATATGAAGGAAAAGAAACCAGTGTCCAGTTGTTAACCTTTACTTTTGGGAAATCATCTGAATAGAAGTATTTGATGACAGATAAAAGACTACTTTTTTTTTTTTTTTAAGGGGAAAAATTACAACTTTGGAAATGGTAAGGTCAACTTAATGTTTTGAGTAATGTCTGATCGAAAACTAGAAAAGTAAATTATTTGGCAGTTACCTAAAAGAACAGAAGGTATTGGGGAACATTATGCATAATTTTATAAAGAACAAATCTTGGTAGGCCAGTTTTATTTTCAACTTTGATAGAATGGTAGGCCATATGGACAAAAGGGAGGAAGTTTATTATACTAAAACTATATAAGATAGCTGGACTTTACTGAGGTTTCTGATTTGGTATTACATGGCAATCACCAGAAAATCATCAATGATGTTTGGAAAGAATACTCTGCCAGGAATCACATGCAGAATAAGAAAAAGGAGGATTAATATTTATTGAGACTTTTTACATAAAACTCTATACTAGGTGCTTTACATATACTTCTTTGCTTCTTGTAAGAGGTGTTTTTAGTATTTCTGTTTCACAGTTGAGTGAGGGAAATTAGAAAATTACACAGCTAATAAGTGGCCAAGCTAAGATCCAGATCTCTCCCATCTTTCTGTTGACCTTGAACAAATTATTTAATTTTTTTGTTTTTCATATGTAAAGTAGGAAAAATTGCTCTTCATTGTCTCTAGGACAATGAAATAATGGATATTAAAGCTTCTGAAAAACTCAAAGGTTCCATCAACCCGAACATCTGACATCCTTTCAAAATCACTCCTGTGGGTGGCATTATATGCCTAGAGGCAGTGGCAGAATGGTTTAAGAGCACAGGTTCTAGAACTCAGTTGTTTGAATGCAGTTCCTGGCCTTGTCATTTATCAACTGGGTAACTGTTTAAAATTTCTTAATCTCTTTGTACTCAGCTGTAAAATGTGAATGTTGCTGTATATACACCTCGTAGAAGGACTACACCTGTAACACTCTTAGAACAGTGATAGGCATTTGTAAGCTCAATGTGTTGACTTCTTTTTTTTTTTTAAGTTGTAGTTGGACAAAATACCTTTATTTTATTTATTTATTTTTATATGGTGCTGAGGATCAAACCCAGCATCTCACATGTGCTAGGCGAGCACTCTACCACTGAGCCACAACCCCAGCCCTCAATGTGTTGACTTCTAATGTTTTTATGTTTATGTTACTCACTTGAATGAAGAATTTGAAAGTTAGAAATATAGTTTATAGCTAAACAATTGAAACCAGAGTTTCAGTTGTTAAGCTATAACTAGGAGCAGTTCAGCAGAAATAACTATGATGTGGTTTCTGTTTAGGATTAAATAATTTACACAGATCCAAGATGGAATATGATAGCACTAATTCACATTATTTTAGCAGCCATTCACTGAGCAGTTCCTATGCACTCAGTCTCGAGTATGTCCAAAACATCCTTGTTAATGGATGCACAATAATATGACTGTACCTAATGCTACAGAACTGTAATTCTAAAATGGTTTAAGCAGTAAATTTATTTTATATATTATACAATCTATTCTAATTCATCCTCCCAGAATGCCTATGAAGTAAGTACTATTTCTATTTTATAAGTGAAGAAACAGAGGAATTTAATAACTTGCCCAAAGTCCCAAAGTTAGTATGCTGTAGAGATCTGAAGTAGACCTAAACGCTTTTGCAGCTGTGTTACTGTACACTGTGGTACCCTGACTCCTCTAAGGCACAGTTAGAATGGATAAGGTGTGTAAGGTTCACAAGACTATGTTGTAGTTGCAATCAATTGAAAATGTTGGCTTTGTAGAAACTGTGTAACAGCCATTTGTTTGGATCTAAAACTTCATTCCTTGATTTAGGAATATGACTTGTTAATAAGGATAAATTTCACAAGCCCTAGACATATTACTGTGATTTATATTCCTTTGTCATTTTTCTTCCAGAGGTCAGTGAGGAGTTTTTGAAGTTTGGTAATGAAGTTTATACATTTTTTAAAAATATTTTTAGTTGTCAATGGACCTTTATTTATTTTATGTGGTGCTGAGAATCGAACCAAGTGCCTCACATATGCTAGGCAAGTGCTCTATCACTGAGCCCCAGCCCCAGTATATACATTTTGATACTTCCTACTGTCACTAAAGCTAATATTCTTTTTTTTTTCTTAGAGAGAGAATTTTTTAATATTTATTTTTTCAGTGGACACAACATCTTTATTTTATTTTTATGTGGTGCTGAGGATTGAACCCAGTGCCCTGCGCATGCCAGGCCAGCGTATTACCGCTTGAGCCACATCCCCAGCCCTAAAGCTAATATTCTTGATGTGACATTTTACCTCCAAATTTTAGTTCTGATTGCAGATGACAAGTGCTATACATATTTGTTCTTCACTAAACTTTTGAATTAGTAGCTCTTTGGTTTTCCTTATTGATAAAAGAAGTGTCTAAAAATGCTTGTTTTTTCTCATTGTACTTTGGTGATCATTCGAACATTTTATTTTCATTGTATTGATATGCTTGAGGCAGTACTCAAGAATATGCCCAGGAATGTATTTATCTCCTATTCTGCTAACATTCTGATAAAGGAATTTCTTGAACAGTTGAAATTAAATTCTTAGTGGTAGAGATACAAGTTTGTTTTTTTTTTTTTTTTGTACCTGGGTTTGAACTTGAGGTATTTGACCACCGAGCCACATCCCCAGCCCTATTTTGTGTTTTATTTAGAGAGAGGGTCTCACTGAGTTGCTTAGTGCCTTGCTTTCTGTTGAGGCTGACTTTGAACTCCTGATCCTCCTGTCTTAGTCTCTTAAGCCACTGGGTTTACAGACATGTGCCATCACGCCCAGCTTCTTGAAAGTTTTTATAATGGACTTTAAATATAAACTGATTAAAGATCTGATTGAGTCAGCAGTCTCAAAAATATTTGACTACTGTTGTCTCTGAGAGAAGTACACTGGCACTTTGCCCTTGATCCTAACTTATTTGTTACTGTTAATAGTTTAATAGGATTTTTTTAATATTTATTTTTTAGTTGTAGTTCAACACAATACCTTTATTTATTTTTTTTATTTTTTATTGTTGGTTGTTCAAAAACATTACATAGTTCTTGATATATCATATTTCACACTTTGATTCAAGTGGGTTATGAGCTCCCATTTTTACCCCATATACAGATTGCAGAATCACATCAGTTACACATCCATTGATTTACATATTGCCATACTAGTGTCTGTTGTGTTCTGCTGCCTTTCCTATCCTCTACTATCCCCCCTCCCCTCCCCTCCCCTCCCCTCTTCTCTCTCTGCCCCCTCTACTAACATTCATTTGTCCCCCTTGTATTATTTTTCCCTTTCCCCTCACTTCCTCTTATATGTACTTTTGTATAACTCTGAGGGTCTCCTTCCATTTCCATGCAATTTCCCTTCTCTCTCCCTTTCCCTCCCACCTCTCATCCCTGTTTAATGTTAATCTTC